GAATAGAAGGGGAGTTGATCGAGCAAGTAGATGAGTTTGTATATTTGGGCTGCGTATTTAGCAGGGATGGGAGATATAAGGATATAGAACGACGAGTGAATGCGGGAAATAGAGTAAATGGGGCCTTGCACTCTATTGTGAAGAGTCAAAATGTGTCGAAAAAGGCACGTATGGCAATTCACAATGCTGTGTTGGTTTCTACTTTAACGTATGGTAGTGAAAGTTGGGTGTGGCAGAAGAAGCACGAGAGTAGAATGAATGCAGTAGAAATGCGGTCGTTAAGGAGTATGTTAGGGCTGAATCTGAATGACAGGGTAAGAAATTGTGTAATAAGAGAAGAGTGGTTTGCAAGATGATGTTGTGACCAGGATTAAGAAAAGGAATGCTTCGGTGGTTTGGTCATGTGGAAAGAATGAATGAGGAAAGAGTGACAAAGAAAATTTGTTGCAGAAGTGAATGGCAGAGTCGGAAAGGGACGTCCTAGGCGAAAATTTATCGAGCTTATTGGCGATTTATTGAAAACGGGCCAAATTAGGAGTACCCTTAACCGACGAGCATGTATGCATAGGTGTATGGATGTGAAGGAGGCGAGAGAGGTGTGTCAGGATCGTGCCAAATGGAAGTCTGTAGTCTCTGCCTACCCCTCTTGGTGACAGGCGTGAGTGTTTATGTATATGTATGTTGTTTTTAAGCGTTTCGAATATTAACGAATAATTGTTTGCTGTTGGTGTGAAAGCCGAACAAATGGACTGTGCTCTACCACTCAATTTACTGATTAAATAATACAATCTTTCAGCGTCCGATAACGATGGATTATTATGTATGGTGTTTTGAAACCTATTTATAAACAACGGCCAAGTTTTAATATCTCCATTGAATACCGGAATATCTATGGGGGGCAATCTAAGTGATTCACGCGGGCGTACCTGAATTTCTAGTTTTGCTTTGCTTTGGGCTGGAGACTGTAAGAGGTTTGCCGTCCTTTTTATGCGACACAACATATCTTCAAATGATAGAAGTGGTTGATAGTTCACTGTATATTTAGGATCGATTTGTAATTCTAAACTATTAATTTTGGTCTAATATATTTTCGTAATTCGATCGCAAAGAGTCCACAGTTTCGATTTCGCATAAAAACGTTTCCCGCACTGAATCTACGTTAACATTTTTTATATGATCACTTATATATTGTATACGTGAAAAGAGTACGTCCCTCTTGGCGTAAAGACTTTTAAGTTTAATTTCATTTCCACTAACTACCATCTTGAATCACTATAATTAATATTAGATTAATCACGAACAATATCGTACAACGTTGGAAGATGAACACAAAGCGCCACAACTATATCTCACAACACGCTATTGTCTTATCGTGCCGTATTACGACGTTAAGTTGAACACTTTGTCAGTAATATTTTTTTTGCGTGAAGGTAAGTTTCAATCAAACGAGATATATGTAACACACGCGTCGACTAGGTAGCAATTTAGAACTCGTATAATGATACAAATAGCAGGTAAGGTAAATAAAATTAAGCGGGTCTAACTATTTAAATAAATAAGTATCTATTTACCTATGCGAATAAACTAACCAAAAATTTCAATTTAAACTAAAACAAAACTACATAAAATCTATCCAATATTAAATTAGAGTGTATTATCAAAGGAATTGGTGCAGCAGTTAGACTCCCTGAGGCTACAGGGCGCCAGTTCCAAATCGGCTCGAATGACCAAAAAATGGCGGGGCCTAGGGGCTCCCGAGTTCGATTCCCAAGTCGAGCCTTGACCATATTGTGCGAGATGTTATACTAGGTGGACTGTATACGCGCATGGCTTCTTATGCCTCAACAAGATGGCGGACGTGGCACGCTGCAACCTTGGACAATGCACTAGCTCTTCCAAATCTATTGCTTGCCAATGTTAGGATGGAATTCTACTTGAGCATATTAGGAGAAACAAATGGGGCTGGTTAACTAACAAATAAAATGCTCAAGTAGGAGCTAAATTACAGGAAACACACTTACCGGGGTGTGATTCTGATGCGGCGGACGATGCTTCCGTTGCGGTGATGCGACGTAAGGTGGGTTCTTCTGGGGCGCCCCAGATATGCGATCCAGGCCAGTGATACGAAGGAAGAGGGCGGTGCGCGCCGATATCTCACACTATGTGAGGCGGTTATTTCTGGAGCGCGACTGCCCCAGGTGGTGCGGTTCAGACTAGAGGCGCGAAGGCAAGAGACCGCTCGAGGGAAGCGCGCGAGCTTTTATTGCCTCGGCTTTCCCACCAAGGCACCTCGGTCGGGCGCATGTCTCATTGGTCGAAAGAATCGCGTCACCTTCTAGACTCCCCCCTTTCCCCTTTCAGTGTGTACGGAAGGGACATGAGGTCAAAGGAAGGACAAACACTTGGCAAATATACCCTCGAACAAAATTAAAATACACAAATCATTTCCGCGTAACCACTAGTTGAAACTAAATAATGTATGGGAATGACATCACTGAACGAGTCAGATGGTCAGTCCAAACAAATAAAAGGCGCGATTGTAGAAAAAGATTCGATACGAAACGATTGTAAGCTAGGGGGCGTGGCCTTTTTATGCTATTGATAACGAAAGCTATAAAATATGTATAACTTAGAAACTAAATCCTATGTGTACTTATCTGTATTCATAACCCGATATCTGAAGTAGGTTGCTGCGCTCACGCCCCTTAGTTTTTGCGTAGTTCGTATATTCTGTAAGAAATCAAATCTAATCCAAAATATACTATAATACCATAGCAAAACTACTAGGTACTATTTTCTTTAGTAGTAGGCGTATCTAGGTACGAATGTAAATATATTGTTGCGTGAATAAGTCAACGTCATACACTATCGCCATCTAGTGTCAGGAACGAGAGCGAGGGGAGCTTTGCAGAAAATGACATCACAAATCTTTCAACCGACAGCGCCATCCGAAGAACTAAGTTTCTAGAAAATCTACACTCAAACACTCGTCGCTTTGCGCGCATTTACTTGAATATTCCGGATGCTTCATTGCTAATTTGTATATATAGGCGCTGCAAGATGCGATCGGGGCCTACGCGGGCCCCGTCCTCATACGCGGGCCCCGCCTTTGCCCACGCAAACCCTAATATTTTAAATGAACTCCAAATAGTTCAGAACCTCTTCTGTCGTCGAGCTGCGAACGCACCTTGGTACGTCCGTAATGCCGACCTTCATCGGGACTTAGAGCTCCCAACAATTCAACAATTTTTTAAAAAACTCTCTGAGAACTTCTTCAAAGCCTCAGAGTCGCACCCAAACCATTTAATTCGTGAGGCAGCTTCTTATGCAGCCCCACCCCCTTCTCGCTATCGTATCCGCAGGCCGAGAAACTCTCTCTCGGACCCGCCTAATAAACTTTCAAACGACCTGAACTATCTCCTGGCGGCTCAGGCCAACTCTAATTAAATAAAATTATTGTAATAACTAACATTAATTTGCCTTCGTAGGCACTCCCTCAGCGGCACTTAGCCGCCTGCGCCCTCTTTTCCCAAAAGAGGGTCGCTCATGATAAGGCACAATAGAGCTTAATCAGCCGGTTGCCTGTCCCCAAAGGCGGTTTTTAGAGGGTATCACTTAGGGTCCCCGGTAGGACAGTGAGCCCCTCATAACCACGATAGACCGGCTATCGTGGTATGCGTAATGCATTTTCCGCCTCCCTACGTATAGGGTAGCCCTTTAATTGCTTCGGGCGCAAAAAAAAAAAGCGATCGGGGCAGTATTGGATTTGGCGAGACAAGCGAAGCTTCGGAGCGGAATAAAGTGAATTAGTGTGTTTATTTACATATTAGTGTTTTAAGTTTTAATTTGTGTAAAGTAAATTAAAGTGTTAATTTAGGTAATTTTATCGGCAATTTTTATTATCACGAACCTCAAGCTCGTAACAATATATTAATACTTCATATCACAAAGTAACGAGTAGTTTCGGGTGGCCGAGCCTAGCCCAACCGAGGAGAGCTTGTGATGTGAGTGCCGGAAGTACATTTTTCGCAAATATTTTCAAAACTTTTTTATTCGTTCCCAATGGAAAACGCCGACTTAGAATTTATATATATTAAAAATATGAGTAGGTAAGTAATCTGTGGTAAGGTTAATTATTTAATAACAAATTAATTAATAAACAAATATTTGCAAAGTGCGAGTCGGACTTCCGAGCTTCCGTACCATCGTACAAGATTTATTATACATATTACTATCGAGCAAAAAAGCCAAAAATACACGTTTCTTTTTCTAGTAGGAAACCCTTAAATTTTAAATTTATTTTTATTTATTTTTTTGTACGTGGTAGAGCCATTCTGCAGCTATATTAATAATTATATAGTTGTAGCACGAATAGGTCGGCTCGATCGCGAAGGGACCACGCTCTCACAGAATACCAGCGTCAAATAGCAGCTCTATGCTGCTGTGTTTCATATGGTGAGTATAGAGAACCGGAGACCCTTTTTACTGAAAACAGGCATTCCATCTTAGTCCTCAAGGCTAACAACGCAATTTGATTCGCAAACTAGGATAGGTGTACTAGTCTATGGGCCACAGCGACCACTTACCATCAGGTGAACTGTGTGCTCGCTTGTCACCTTATTTCTATTTAAAAAAACTATTTATTGTTATAGCGGCAACAGAAATACACGTTCTGTGAAAATTACAGCCATCTACCTATTACGGATCATGAGATACAGTCCACTGACAGACAGACACACGGACAGCGGAGCCTTCGTAATAGGTTCTCATTGGTTACCCTTCGGGTACGGAATCCTAAAAAGTACTTAGTTGTCCACTCACATCTGTATGGTTCTTTCTTCAAAGGACCATATTAGGACACCTGCCTGGTTCTCGTATAATACGTCCAATACAATACCTGGACTGAGTTTCTGTCTCCTCTGAGTATACCTCTCTGAGTTTGTTTGGGCAGATCGGGTGCTTCTTCTCAGTTTCGTGTTTTTGTCGTGTTAAAGTGCTTTTTAAAAAAACAACTTACAAAATAAACGTTTTTCCGCCATTTGACGCGAATCGCCGAGAGATAAAACATCTCCTTTAAAGGGTAGCGCTACACTATATCTACCGTCGCGATCACGAACGGTCGTGCGGACGTAAATTTCCTCGCATAATCTGTCATCTGAGCTAGCTATGGGTGGGACGTTCACCTCCTCCATCTCCCAAAATTTGCAAACTAACGACTCGAGCGGTTCGACAGCCATACCACAATAAGAGGTTGCCGAAATACTATCTATGATGGGGGCGGAGCCAACGATGACATAGCCCAATACGGTTTCCAGTGCGTAAGCCGCGGTATGCGAGGAGTTGCCCCTGACCTTTTTATTTAGCAAAAGATGAGGGAAAAGCGATGCTCCAATGAGCATGTCTATGTTTCCAGGAACGGCGTAAGTGTCGTCCGCTAGAGTCAAATTTTTAAATTCAATCATTGCCGAGGTGTCAACTGAAACGGTTAGCAACCGTTCAGTGACCCTATCTACTACTAGCGCATTTATATCAAAGTTAACGTTACGATCTATCCGAGAATAAAATTTTAAATTTATATATCCCTGGGTAGCTTTACTAGTACCTCCGATGCCTTTGACTACAGGACATGAAAGTGACCTATTTATTACTAAGCCTAAGCGCTGACAACATTGTCGCGTTATAAAGCTATTTTGGGCTCCGCTGTCCAGCAGTGCACGGACGCTTTGTTCGTTTCCACGCGAATCCCTAACCAAAATACGCGCCGTACCCAGTAACACGGTTGAAGGAGGTTGTGCTCCCATATTTGCCAATGAGCACAGAGCGACATCACCAGGTCGACCGCTAGAATCGTTGACTTTAGTAGGGGTGAATTCCTTGTCCGCTTTACTTGACGCCGCTATGTTGCTATTTTCAAAATGTAATAGCGTGTGATGTTTCCTGGCGCACTTGCTACATACGGAACTCGAATTGCATTTTGCAACTAAGTGATAAGCACTTAAGCAGTTCAGACATAGGTTGTTTGTCTTTACTAATTTATAACGTTCGCTTGGTGAATATTTACGAAAAGTCGCACAATTATATAAATTACCGTGTTTATCTTTACATACGATGCAAGCATGCTGAAGTGATGCTGACGTAGCGGTTACGTAAGTTAACGACCCTGCTATTTTAGATGGTTGAGTCTGTCTACGGTCGACGCACCTTTTAATCTCCTGTTTAACGTTCGGAGAGCGCTGCATCACTTCACTTCATTTGATCTCGCACGAACGATGCTAATGAATGAAAGGAAGGCATCTCCGAGCTACGATGCTCCATTTCAAACGCACGCACGGTGTCGGGGTCTAATTTCTTTAGTGCAATATGGAGAAACACCACGTCCATAAGGTCATTAAATTTCAAATTCTTAAGTGCAGCCACCGATGCCACAAATTTATCTAAAAACTGCTCTAAGCCGTTGATGTTCGCGGATGATATAGGTTTAAGATCGAATATCTGGTTCAAATATTGGGAAGCTAACATTCTCCTATCTTCGTATTTAGTTTTAAGCGTTTCGAATATTAACAAGTAATTGTTTGCTGTAGGTGTAAAACCCGAGCAAATTGACTGTGCCCTGCCACTAAGTTTACTAATTAAATAATATAATTTTTCAGCGTCCGATAACGATGGGTTATTGTGTATATTGTTTTGAAAACTACTGAAGAAGAAGGGCCATGTCTTAATATCACCATTGAATACTGGAATATCTATTGGCGGCAACCTAATTGAGTCACGTGGACGTACCTGTATTTCCGGCTTTGCTTCGTTTTGAGATGGAGATTGTAAGTGTTTCGCCGTTCTTTTCACGCGACACAACATATCTTCAAATGCTAGAAGCGGTTGGTAGTTCACTATGTATTTCGGGTCGATTTGTAATTCCAAATGATTAATTTGGTCTAATATTCTTTCGTAATCGGTCCGCAAAGAATCCACCGTTTCAATTTCATTCAAAAAAGTTTCCCACACTGCTTCTACATTAATGTTCTTTATGTGATCACTAATACTTTGTATACGTGAAAAAAGTATGTCCCTCTTGGCATAAAGCGTTTTAATTTTAATTTCATTTCCACTAACTGCCATTTTAAATTATTATAATAAAGTTATATTAATCACAATTAATCTCACAACGCACAAATAATTGAGGATGGACACTCGGTATGCCGTATTACGTAATTAAATCGAACACCTGTTACAGCGAGTCGAGGTGACGCGTTGCTCGCCAAACTCAATATTTTTATCAAAATTGTCGGGTAAGCGTACCAAACGGTTGCGATTACACTGTTTCAATTATTTAAGCGACTAATAAGCTTTAAATTTAAACCAAATACAAACGCTATTTAAATGAATAATTCTGTTTGCGAGTACCTAACCAAAATTTAAATTTAAACGAACACTATTTAAGACTATTCCATAAATTAGAGTGCATTATCTAAATAATTAATTTATTAATACGACCAGAAAATGGTTGAACGACTACTAAACACCAGTCCAAATTCTGCCGAAGGACCATAAAATGGTGGAGCGTCAAGCCTAAGGTTGCCGAAGTCTAATTCCCCGGTCGAACCTTAAACCTATTACGCGAGGATTAATCAAAGTGGACTGTATCTTCGAAATGCTTCTACGCTTATATAACGACGACTATAGCGCGCGGTACAATGCACTCGCTCTTCCCTAAAACGAACTATTATTTGCCAAATCGATGAAAGGAATCCTGCTTGATTAGGAGAAAACAAAATTGGAGCGGGTTAAAACACAATTATATCAAGCAGGCAATATTATTAGGAATATTCACTCACCGGGGTGTTTCTTCTATGCTGTTGGGCACTATAGCTGCGACTTCTGGAACTTCTTCTGGACAGACACTCTGGGGCCCCAGAGATACGTCGGGAGAGAAGCGGTGTGGTTTCAAAGACGAGCGCGGCGGTAAGAGGGTGTGCGTCGGTCGCGCGTGCCTTTTATACCTTCGGTTGCGATGATTATGTGATATTCTAGAATCATCTTCTTTCCCCTCCCACCCCACCACCCCGATGTGTCGATAGGAGGGTATGAATGATATCGTTTTGGAAAGGGATAAGCTATTTGGCAGCCTACCGTCAAAATAAAAAACTACGAATGGTTTTCCGCGCAACCAGTATTTATGCAAGAGGTTATCATAAGAGGGCCAAGAACAGTAACATCTGTAGTTTACAGAGCGTAGAAATTTAGCTTAAACCGATTTTAGTAAATCACGATATCTTTGGTAGAAGGGGTTTCAAACTTGTGTGGCATACTCCAATTGGGGTCTTATAAGAGATTTATAGAGCAGTAGATAAGTGCTAGACTTTTTAAATGGCTTACAAGTTCTCATGACAAAACCGTAAAGCTGAAAGGCTTTGTTGATAATGTGGTTAATATGGTAATCAAAATGAAGCTTTGAGTCAAAGAACACGCCAAGGTCTTTAATAAGCGAAACGTTTTCAAAAGGAGTATTACAAAGAGAATATGTGAATTTAATAATATTACTTTTTTAGAATGTTACCAATGGATTTGAAACTATCGAAACCTATATAATATATTATTATACATACATCATTATAAGGTTAATAAATCATAAAACCGTAGAAGCGTTAGCGTTATAAGCTATAAAAGGAACTGTTGTATCTTAGTGGGGGTTCAGTTGTGAGTTTCCTGCCTACAAGTTAGTTACTATGCTCGAATCTGTGATCATTTACATTAGGTAAGGAATAATATATAATTACTGTGATTCGTTGATCAAGTGAATAAAAAGTGCTACTGTGTAATCTGTTTTACTTCATATCTACTAATTATAATGAAGGTGATAATTTTATGTTAGGCAGGCTAAGGATTAGTTAAGTTTGCAGTTTGCAGCATTGCAGTCAAATGTATTAAACCATACAGCCAGATAGAATATTATAATCACTACGTTTAGGAGGCGGGAAATTTTTTTTTTAACTACAGGTTGTGCTGGGCAAGACGCATTGTTGAAAACGCTTTTGGAATTCTTGTCAGCCGATTTAGAATTTATGAAAAATCTCTCCCTTTTGAGCCTGAAAAAGTAGAAAAATAGTCAAAGCTTGTTGTGCTATTCACAACTGGGCAAGAAAGTCAGCAACGGTACATGTTGCTACTGATGATGTTGAGAACACCGAAACTGGTGCAATTCAAAGTGGAAGCTGGAGAGTGGAGCCGCGTTATTGTAGTGCCTCTGCCATGCGAACATGGCAGAGGCACTACAATAACGCGGCAATCTTAACAGCACCCTGAACGCATTATTGTATTGTACACGAAGGACATTGTATGTCCGCTGCGTGTATCTAACCCACAAGTTGCACGTGTAAAAGCACTGACAATACGCTTTAAAAAACGTTACTTTAACTTCTTTAGTACATCGTGCAAACTTGCGGACCAGCATATTACAGCGAACAGCCAACGCCCTGCGTTCCCTTTCTATATCCAAGTCATCCTCTAAGTCCTCTGTTACCCAGTGCCCAAGGTACTTAAATTTGACGACTCTGTTCAAAGGATTATCACAGAGCTTAACAGTAGGCATGGTGAGCTGCCTTTTAGTGCCTGAGTTAAAAACCTTGAGCTCGCTCTTAGTTATATTGTACTTGAGCAGTCTTCTGAGTGCACCTATCGTGGGCCTCAGCAGTACCATATCATCTGCATAGCTTATTTATGCAAGCTCCGTCTATAGAACAACAGACCTTAGTGCTGCTGAGCTCCACAATCAACTGGTTAATGTACAAGTTGAAAAGCGTAGGTGAACTCAACCCTCCTTGTCTCACCCCGCATTCCAGCCCATACCCCTCAGAAAAGCTGCTACCCCATCGAACATAGTTCATTTGGTTACTATACCAAAATTTAAATACAGAGACAATCTCCTGGGGCAAATCAGTCTCCTCCTGTAACTTTCGCCATAATAAGTCATAAGAGACTAGATCAAAAGCTTTTGATAGATCTAAAAAACAGGCATACACCGGCGTTTTTTATCTGTGTAGTACTTTATTTATTTATTTATTTAATCTTCATTATACACCTTATATACTAAGGGATATAAAGGGCGGGCTTAATGCCTTATGGCATTCTCTGCCAGTCAACCCTGGATGATTTGAGAAACTGTGGCAGGTGTAATCAATCACTTCATAAATAAATAATAATGATATAAAACAAAATAAAATGCAAATGAATAGAATAGATATATAGTTAGTAAAATATACATACTTACTTAATATATAATATAGGATAAATAATAAATATATAAACGGGTAGTTCTATACAAAACTATAAGTAAGTAAAATATTAGGACACAAAAATAAAATAATACAATACATATTAAAATACATTATACAAAATATTACTTATAAAGTGAAAGAGATACAAAATATTACTTATAAAGTGAAAGAGAAAAAAAACACAAAAACAATAGTCGGATAGTCAGGTGGTATTATTCTTACGACAGAACTCTCGAACTAGTCTTTTAAAATAATTCTTGTTATTAGTTTTCTTGATATAAACAGGCAAGGCATTCCAGAGCAGTATAGACTGCAAAGTAAAAGAGGAATTATAGAAACCACTCCTATGACTTTACAGTATGCTTAAAACATAAAATTGCACTCTCTGTGGATAGTCCAGGTCTGAACCTAAATTGAGCATCATGAAAATGAATATGCTTATGCTTTCTCAATTTCCTGTCAAGTAGACTATCCCGCACCTTACCCACTATGGTGGCTAGTGAGATTGGCCTGAAATTATTTAAATCTGATATATCTCCTGTTCTGTTCTTAATGATAGGCACCACAATAGTCTTCATGAGATCAGTCGGAAAATACTGATGCGCTATACATAAACATAGAAACATAGCCAACACTCTTGGAAGGTATCCACCAGCATGTACCAGATGTTCAATGCTAAGCCCATCATGTCCTGGTGATTTACCTCTAGACATAGAATTTATTACTTCAGAAACTTCTTTGGCAGAGATCTTTACACACGATCCACCTGCAAAACGTCCACCATCGATTAATCGCGATGACGGACCCCGCGGTGACTTTACTTTAAAATGCTCTTTAAATAGAATGGCTATGTCTCCAGGCTGGTTGTGACCCTGAATATTAGCGGGAAGGCTCGACTTGGGATTCAGTTTATTCGTAGATTTCCAAAATTTTTTAAATTTCATTTGCGAATGACTTGATGCGATCTTATCCATTCTTAATTGCTCTGCGTGATTTTGACACCATTTTAACTTTGACTTGAAATTCCGTCTTGTTTCACACATTCTACTATAATAAAAACCCGAAGATGGCTTACCGCATAAGACCCACGTTTGAAAGGCAAGTCGAGCCTCCCCGTGGGCATCTCTAACGGGTTTATTCCACCCCACAACATATTTCCTATTCCTTTTATTATTACAACTGGCCTGAGCTGATTCTCTAAGAATAGTAAAAATATTGCTGTACGTATTATCTAAAATTCATTTGTGATTATCATTAATACATATATCATTACAACAATTCATAAACTCTTGTGGAAAATTTACGTCTTTTAATTTAAAGAGACACAGTTTCTTATAAGTTTCTATTTGGTTATGCTGGTTAAAGAAACTTGGCCTAATGATAAATACCCATACAGAAAAAAGATGGAGCAGAAAGCATTTATTAATGTAAATCTACATTATACAATAATTCAAGTTATAACAAAATTTATAAAAAGTCTATTTTTTGGTTGGCTAGACATTTTTCAAAACTATATTGTCTACATACTACTAAATATATAATCTAACTATCAAAAAGTTACGCACCCCTGTTATTCCTAATAACCTTGCATTGGTTTTATTTACACTTGGTATCGCTTCTCGTTGGCTGTAGTATAGTTAAAACGTCGCCAATTTTCATAATACTTTGCACGCCTCTGAAGCGACCTTCGTGAAATTAGGCTAACGATTAAATCGTCGAAAAAAAACTCCCACTGGCGAGTGTCTGTATCACTTAGCCCGTTACACGTCTTTGTTAAGGCCGCTCCTACTGTAGGGTTAGGTGCTATGAGAAAACAAATTGAATCCTTTGATATTAGTCGGTAATAATATACACCGAGGTGATATGCAATGTATGCAATGTCAGTCTAGTCATTTGCTCATAATAAGAACATTAGTTTTCAATGTTAGGAAGGTTAATATGCAACATTTAGAAAAAATAAGATTAAAGCAACGAAAACGTCTTTGAAACTCAGATAATTTACCTACTTACCATTTGGTTTCAATTTTTTTGCTATTTATAAACATGTGATACGCGACGGCATTATTAATGAGGGTAACACTGGGAAGTGCTACTATTTCCAATTTCTTTCTTTTATTGACATAGTGCTTAAAGTATAAATAGGTACATGTGCTATAACATCGATAATGGCCAACATCGATGTTTTGAGTATGATAAACATCGAACATCGATGTTAAGCTGTCGATATCAACATCGATGTTATCATCGATGTTTCTGTAACATCGAACATCCCTAAAGCATACTTATACTTATATATCTACAACAATTTTTAATATTGACATTTTAACATATTATCAAGGTGATAAGGCGTATCTACAATTTGCCATAAAGAAACATTTTTGGGGTGAACCTACACACTTGTTAGCCCTACAACATACTGAAAGGGTGTAATACATGTTTGTTGTTTTATCAATAGATCTAAATACCAGTATCAAAATTGTTAAAAACAAAACTAATAAATCATTCTTGACTGCCACGGAACTGCACCATCACCCACAAAATAATTTGAGCGATTTGATTTGAGCGTTGTTGGATGACCGGTTCTGCATACGCCAGTGAATAGGAATGAGCCCATCTGATGGGACATCTCTCCAGCTTCCACTTTGAATTGCACCAGTTTCGGTGTCCTCAACATCATCAGTAGCAACATGTACCGTTGCTGACTTTCTTGCCCAGTTGTGAATAGCACAACAAGCTTTGACTATTTTTTCTACTTTTTCAGGCCCAAAAGAGAGAGGTTTTTCATAAATTCTAAATCGGCTGACAAGAATTCCAAAAGCGTTTTTAACAATGCGTCTTGTTTTCAAATTCCCGCCTCCTAAACGTAGTGATTATAATATTCTATCTGGCTGTATGGTTTAATACATTTGACTGCAATGCTGCAAACTGCAAACCAAGGGTATTAGTGTTCTGTGCTGTGCTGCAAACAAACTTAAAATTGGCGAATCGTAACGACAACAACGTAATTATGTAAATAAATAATAAATATTTATAAAATACAGGCTCATGGCATTTTCCTCTGTTATTCAAAGATTAAAAAGTGAGTGAGTGTTAGTGAATTCAAAGATTAAGATGTATATTATATTGATTACGATTTTATCAATTTATCAACAACGATACCCAACGCCCAACGATACCTTTCATATAAAATCCCTTTTAGGTGATAAGTCTCTTGTGGTAAACTGATAACTGATAAATCAAGCAGGATTTCATACCATATCATTATTTAACAATTTAGTCGCAAATTATAAAAATAAGAAGACTCCAAGAATAAAGTTTAAACAGAGAAATTAAGCAATCATTGACGTTGTTTTTTTTTCTAAGGTTTATTGTAGGCATTTTTTTTTATCACCTACAGTGCATACCAATGCCCAAATACTCACACGCTGCTCAATTATAATATACCGTTAGGTCTTGTGCTGTCTCTAGCAAAATGCTAACGGCACCACGAGATTAAACGACATCATTGCTAAGATGTTTTTATACTTATAGATACGTCGTACTTGCTCTAAAATGGCAATACGAAAGTCAGGTAATTGCCTGACTCGCAATCAGTCGGGCACGCTCTCGCGTCGCGGCTATACTTCGCTACAGCGCGTAAATCTTCTAGTTAATCGTGGGAAAAAATGCCTTCCAGTGTTTTTAGATGGTGTACGTATTACACGGCAACTGTTACAGACAAGAAAAACGTCTCATTTCATTCGTAAGTATAGTTTTTTAATTAAAACATTGGATGTAATTTCGTTTGAAATTGTGTGTAAGGTAAGTGTGTGTGTAAGGTAGAGAGAGATGTAATTTGTGCATAAGAGTGAAAGGAACAATGTTATCCTCCGTTTCGGTAAGTCACGCATTCGTGCCAATGAGCGCTCTGCAAAAATCAATACGTAACTAATAATGTATATTCTTTTCTTTTTCTAACAATAGGTATGCCCTATCATTTGTCTCTTTTTGTTAGCGCAACATGTCAATAAATAACTGTACATAGATATTAGTACTACCTGCACTATTTTGAAATACAATAATATTAATGTGTAACCTGTCTATCCTTTTTTATGTCTTTGCATCATTGAGTAGCGTTTGGGTATTTCGTTATTAGTAGCACATAGATATAGATAAATTTCTTATGCATACTTATATTGTATTCATATTAAATACTAAAAACTTTTTTCAATTTATTTCTGCAGTTACAAAATAAAACAGAAATGCCCAGTTTTAATCTTATTGGATCATTAATCTTGCCTAATGTTGGTGGATGGGCAGGTGCCCTAACCATGATGGGTCAAGTAAAAAATCCAAACAACAACGCTTGGTATCAGACTATTAAAAAACCAAGCTGGACACCACCAAATTGGGTTTTTGGCCCTGCATGGACAGCTTTGTATACGGGAATGGGATATGCGTCTTACATGGTTTATGAAGATTGTGGAGGCTTAACAGGTATTTACTTGCTTCATAGCGAAAATATTACAGGTTCAGGTTTAATCGTCAAAATGTTTTTAGAAGAAAGTAGAAATTAAAATTACATTACATAGACTATTGAATCTTTACTGTTGCAGCCTATTAAAGTCCATAGTTGAACATAGACCTTCGCCATAGATTGCCTTGCAGCAGGGATATTTACCATAGTTGCCACACTTGGTAAGCAGTTTTTTATTTTTAGTTGTAATATGAAGATGCTGCTTTGTTTTCTTCTGTCCCCTTGTATGACACCCATGGGATGATATGGTGAAGTGGATACTGTATTTATTACTTAACATTATCACATTTTTATTAAGTCACTTTCTTGTTCGTGTCATTCCAAATGGAATTTAGTGATTGATTTTGAACTAACTTTCCAATGAACTGTAAACTTCAAAAATTTTTTTTTTTCAATAATTTATTTCTGACTATAACATAATATGAGGTAGCGCAAAAATCCTAGTAAAGCTATAAAGACAGTGGCTTGGATTTATTTTTGAATTCCAGAACAAAAGAGATATCTACTGTATTGATAAAGCCCAACTTTAACTACAAACTATAACAGATATTGATTATACCGGTTAAGTGAATAATTCTTTCTAAGACTTGAAGGGACTAATCTATATTAGTAGTATTTTTAGATGTTATAACAGCAGGTTAGCCAAGATTACTTTCTATGAAACACCATAGAAAATTATACATATGATTTGGGAATGACGACAAATCATATTCTAGTTGTGCTTACAACTCCTCTAATTGAATAGTATCATATTGGTAAATTATATGTATGTTTGTATTGACAAACATTAAAGTTTTTGCTATTGGTGTTAATAGACTGTATGTTTTCTATACCTACTGTCATATTTTCTGTTCATGTGAAAAACTTATGTAAGTAGTTTCCCAAATTTGAGAAGTTCAAGTTAGAAACTATATTAAAGAAGAGATGACATCTAAAGGGATTTGTTTCAAGACTGTATCTCTCTGTATGTCTCTGAGAATAAAAAATATTGAAGTAATAGTGCGAAAAAAGGTTTGTTAAAGCACATGTAAAAAGATTTTTTATGACGACTCCATGGCACAATTGCTTAGCAATGAGTTGCAACGCTGAGGGCCGCGGGTTCGAATCCCGCACGGAACAAGTGTTTGTATGGCCAATAACCTATAAATAAATAAATAATATGGCCAATATGAACAAATAATTCAAATATATAATATTCAAATATATAAATAAAAAACAAAGAGAAATCCTAGTTTGGTGGTAATGTTTTTTTAAATAAGAAAAAATAACAGAAAAAACATGGTTTTTATAATGTATTATTGTTCAACATACTAAAAGAGCCTAACTACATTTATAGGTTGTGCCAATAAAAATAGGAATTTATTTATTTCAACAGTTTACAAAAATGTTCGATATCCTTACCCCCATTAAGTGTAACCTGTCTTAGGGGAATATATTAACCGAGAAAATCAAAATCACCTTTGATATTATTTATAAATAATAAAATAAATTATAACAATTCATAGTTTAATTTGTAAATTTACATTATATAATACTACTTACTGATATTATCAATAATAGCTATTTTTTGTAACATTGTAAAAAAAATTTTTATTTACTCCATTTGGGAGTGGTAAAGTTTGTAAATACAGCCTGCTGGGAAAGTGTTAATGGATGAAGTACATATTTGATGTTGGCAACTTTAGACAAAGTTATAACTTCTATTTCTTTTTTAATTTACAAATTCTCCAAATTGGAATTCTGTAAATATCAACTCACATAACTTTGCAAGTTGTGATAAAACTTGGTTATTTTTTTACGTGGTAGCCACACTGCAGCTATATTGTAGTTGTAGCAGAAATGGGTTGGCTCGACCGTGGCGGGATCACACTCTCACAAAATACCGGCGTAAAATAGCAGCGTAATGCTACTGTGTTTCGTATGTTGAGTAGAGATCCAGAGACCTTTTTTACTGGAATCGAGGCATTCCATCTTAGTCCTCAGGGGTGACAACGCATTTGCACTTAGATCCTTAGTTGAGGATAAGTGTGGACATCTATGGGCCACAGCATCCACTTACCATCAGGTGGACTGTGTGCTTGTATGTCACCCAATGCTATAAAAAAATGATTCAGCTGGCTCAAGAAGTTCCTCTGAGTCAGGTCGAAGTTAAATAATTTAAAAAATGTAAGTTACTGTAATATATGCACTTAATATTCTATTAATTATAATTAAATTATAATTTTACAATACCTTTTTTAATTTGTCGTGAATATTTTTGTCATTATCTGTCATTTATGTCATTATTTATTATATACGCCTTTCAGAGAAAGCAGTACTTCCACTGGCTTTATATGGGGGTCAGCTGATCTTAAACTGGACCTGGACGCCTGTATTCTTTCGTATGCATAAAGTTGGCTGGGTAAATATTTGACTCTTTTTTACCATCTTTTTTGGTTTGATTCCACTGGATGAGATGAAAATGTCAAAAAAGACAAACATTCAGACCTAATAGCTAATGCTGGCTTGTTCTATGCGGGTTCGAATCCCAAACAAGTATTTAACAAATTTTTTTCATCATTTATTCATTACAACCTATCATAAGTCTGCTGCTATCCAAACCTATAAGATTACCTCATTGGGAGGCTATCTGCCATAGTTTTTACGTTTGGTAAGTGGGTGGGCCACCACCACCGTGAAAGAAAATGGGAGATCTTGCGCCGGGCAAGGTGTTCAGGTCAGAATCGCTAAGGTTCTTGAGTGGTAGTACAGAGCTATTCTATATATACTGGAATATAATTAAAAAATTTGTACAACCGACTTTAATATAAATAAATTGAAAACATTGTCAATGTTGTCAAAATCAATTAAATATGTATTATTAAGGATAACCCAAAAACAACTGGTCAGAACTTAATCTAATTTATATGAAAGCACATGAGAAGCACCAGCTTTCAAATAAAAAAGAAATCATCAAAATCGGTGCACCTAGAAAAAAGTTCTGAGATAACACATAAAAAAATACAGTCGAGCTGAGAACCTCTTCCTATTTTTTAAGTTGGTTAATATAAAGAAGGTCCATCACCTATACAATCATAAATCCAAAATCCCATTAGACGTCTTTTACGACCTGCTAAGCAAGAAAAACAGTTGGCAGATTGTATTTGTCATACGAACGTATAAGTCGCACATATATGTAGGATAAGCCCCGACCAACATGAATAGAATAGAATAATTTATATTCAATGTAGATTATAAGATTACTTATTGAAAGTCGTTGATGCTTATAATCCTAGTTCGGAAAAAAGCCTCTGTCCTGAGAAGAACCAGTAAGAAACAGCGGGACTTAAAAAAAACTTTATTTATATTTTAATATTTAACATGGACAACTATATAAAAATACATTTGTTGTATTTTCCAGGCATTTTTCCACATATTAGCATTGGACGCAGCAGCTGTGGCTTGTGCAGTTAGCTTCTTCAAAATCAACACCAACACGGTATATCTCATGACTCCATATCTATGCTGGCTGGCTTTCGCAACATGTCTTAACCATTCCATTTGGGAACTTAATAAAGACGACCCAAAGATTCAGTAAATAACATTATATAACAAAACTATTAAAGTTTTTAGGTTGTTTTTTAGTTGAACTATTTATAATATATAATTATATATATATATATATATATATATATATATATATATATATATATATATATATATATATATATATATACAGCGCGATAAGAATGGAACAAGTCGTTGACTTTATTTAATGACTAAGTTGAGTAGTGTTACGTATTTTTTTTATTAGCAACACGAAAAAAATGTTATTTTGCTCATTACTTGCTTGAATAACATCACCTATTTATTAATGATTATTTTTTTATAAATGAAATGTTGCTATAAAAGAAATATACTTAATGATTATCAAATAAACTATTGTTGTAAGCGTAAATTTTCTACTGTTTATTTTTTTAAACAATTTAAATTAGCTTTTTTATTGTCTTTTTTTTTCGCACATTGTAGCTATGAAATCACAAAAGGGCGGCGATGTAATTTTACTTATGTTATAAGCTTTATGCTAAAGTATAATATTTAATCAAGTTCACCTTGATTAAATATTATACTTTAGGATATAACCATGTTCAAGTTTCCAAGATTTTAAACTCTAACTGTAAAAGCAGTTGATAGAACAACACACAAGTGCGCGCGACGCACGCACGCACGCACGCACGCACGCACGCACGCACGCACACACACACACACGCACGCACGCACACGCGCACACGCACGCATGCATACACACACTTTGTTTATTTTTTATTTTATTTTTTTCTTGATCTATGTTTAGCGTCTGCATTGTGCACGGAATGTATAGGTAACTTAACTAGGTACTTAAGAAATAAAATAATCAACAATAACTTTCAGTTAAACTTAAATCACTTTAACATTGGTCTTATCTAATTTAACAATAACTTTCAAATAAACTTTAAATCACTTTAACAATGGGATGAAGAACTTTTTACTTGCGTATCTAATTAAAAACATATTTAAAAAATCAACTTAATGTTTAAATTACGACTTTAAAGAGAGTTATAAAAAGGAGCGTAATATCTGGGAATGGCATTTTTTCTGATCAACTCCAACAAACCGTCTTTTTTCTTCTTATTTAATGCTGGTTTTACGTCATACGCTTTTTTCACTTCAACATCTACAGATTTTTTCTTTCTTATCACTTCTGCTTTTTTAAACTCTTGCTGTTCATAAGAAGTTTTAAAAAATATGGCTCGAGGATGATTTTTATCTACTTTCACAACTTTCAAGTCTGCAAATTTGATAGTGTTTCCTTCTTCATCCTTTGTTATGTTTACACCCATTTGAGAACAGACACCTTTCCAATCGAGAAAATCATCATTGTTCATTATATTTACCCGAAAAGGTGTAGGGTTTGATCTAGCAACTTTGATTGCACTAATAAAGGCCCCAGGACCAGGACCATTGGACCACTTCTGATTTGCTTTTTAACCTGCCTTTCAATGAGGGAATGCGCAGAGTCACCCTCGTTTTGGGTGTATCCCTTAATTAAATATTTGTGAGTAATTGTTTTTATGTTTGGGTAATGTTGCACAGCAAACATGTATATAGACATCATTTTATTTTATTGCTGGCCCACACAGTTATCGGTATAAAGTATTACATCCACTGTGCTGTTGTTTTGGGCCAGATTTTGTAAATATTTGCAGGTGCCCAGATCTCGCCCTTGCTGTAGCTTCATCCCAAACATAACATTCTACATCTTTAGAATAAAGATTTTATATAGTGAAGTTAAAGACATTTAACTTGCTTACATAATAAAATAATGAGATATCCCCTTTGGGGCATTGGAACACAGCTTGCATGTCATAAACAGCGATAGCTGCATCTTTATTTTCCTTATCCTTGACTTTTTCTGCTCGGCATAGGTCTTTATCTTTTAAATGCTTATCGTATTCTTGCTTCTTCTTTTCTTTTTCTTCGCCTTCACAGTTCTCATAAGCAATACAACAATCACAACAATCTTTTTTTGGTTGGAATAGTGAAATATTATATTCTTCTGTAAAAATTCTGTAGAACAGAGTATAATTCCCATATGGAATGTTTTTAGACTTACAGATTTCTATGTAATCTTTATGAATATCGACAATTGATCTACCACCATCTATATATTCTTTGGAAGAGGTGGCTCTACAATAATGGGAATCCATTCTTGGAATAGAATCAATGTGTTCCTTTATTGCTTTACGGATAGTATCATCAACTTTTGCGTGATTTTTGTATTTCCCTCTATTATCGTCTGCTAAAAGATTCCCTGCAACTTTATTTTTTTTATCTAAGACTGTTCGGATAGGTCGATCTGTGATTCCAAGCGTATTTTTAAAAAACAATTTGCACACTCTTATTTTTTCTTCATGCAAATTAAAATAAAATGCACTAGGGTACCGGCGCTTTTCTCTGGTGCCACCTTCACGTACGTAGCGATACTTAGGTTTTATATCCTCTATACAATTAGAAATATAATTCCACTGTTTTAAAATACTGCCTAGCGACCAATAATCATCAAATATAGACACTCTTTCAGCTTCAGTAAGCTTTGTGCTGCACTTCAATATGCATTTTTCGAAACAGGCATTTTTAATTTTACGCGCTGGTACAATTTTTTTAGAAGTACTCACATAGGATTTTCCTTCATTTCTTAGTTTTTTAATAACATTCTTTTGCCAGTTATTTTCATCTCTTTTACGTTTTCCTCTCTTCTTTACTGCATTTTCTGTATTTTCTTGATCTGGAACATGATTAGCATCACTGCTTATAACTAAATCTGATTGTACCGGCAACTGTCTAAATTGTTAATTATCATTTTCACTAAAGTAGTCAAACATTATTGGAGACACGGGGGCTTGACTGTCAGGTGGTTGGTAGGGAGGATCCTTAACGGAATCATCACTATCTGTAAAAGAAAAGAAACGTTAACGGTCTAACAGTAATATTATTTAACTACTACCAACTTATCTCTGCTAAGCAGGCCTTGAATAAATAGAAACATATTTGAAAATATAAACTCGTAAATTGGTATAAAACTGAAAAATTACCTTCAATGAATGAAGTAGATGATGAAGAACTTGTACTGCTATTGGAAGAGCTCGAGGAAGAGGAGCTGTTGGAGCGACTGCGTTGAGTATTTCCACTGCTATGTTCCTTTGAAGAAACATTGCCCTCAATTTCATTGGTATCATCGTTTTCTAAAAATCAAGTAAACAAGTAAATTCAAAACAAACAAAGTGAATTAGGAAAAATAGGTTATAAATAAGTAACTATAATTAACCTTTTTCATCTGACACTGTTTTCGGAGGTCCATCTACACGGTGATTAATTAAAGCCAATATCGTTTTCTAAAAATCAAGTAAACAAGTAATTTAAAACAAACAAAGTGAATTAGGAAAAATAGGTTACTTATAAATAAGTAACTATAATTAACCTTTTTCATCTGACACTGTTTTCGGAGGTCCATCTACACGGTGATTAATTAAAGCCAATATTCTCCCTCTGCTATTTCGTAAACTGGAATCCATGACTATCAAAGAAGGACCTTAAACATAAAATTGTTATTATCAATAATGACAGTATAAAATAGTGCAAATAACATCAAGAAATATTCTGTGACTTTAACAACAATAACAATGTAACTTATAATATGACATTATTGAAATAGTCTATTGATTTATTTTTGCTATCAAAAATGTACAATAACGAATTATGACTGTCGATATCTGTTTGTGTTTCCAGAAAGAACGACTTAACGGAAAATATGACGGTGGTTTTTTAAACGTATTTCAAATAAAAGGTCGTCATAAGTATAGTAATGACATCTTTGTATTAAAGGGTTACGTGATATTATTGACATACCTTGCAAAAAGAACGTCGTAACACAAAATTTGTCGTCGTCGATGAAATCAAACACGTGCACAATCTAAAACGTTTCCACGCTAACTGAGATGCTACGGCAGTGTTGCCAACCTCAAAAAAAATTAAAAAACAACAACTCACTTAAAAAAACAGTAGAAAGCAGTAGGTAAAGAAAAAAAGGCAGATTTCATAATTTTGCTCATATAATTTTCTTAGTTACTAGAACTCACATACATTGATATATTTATAATCACAACAACAAAAAACAAAAATCAAAGTAAAATTATTTTTCAGTTTCATTTTCAATTGCCTCATCTTCAATATTTTCACACTCATTTTTATTTTTAAAATCATACATATTTTTGTCGAATTTCTTTATGTGCCTTTCTGTGTCTTCAAATGAATAGCAATCGGTTATTTCGTATTTATAATTTAATTTATAGTGTGTAATACTCCTTTAATAGTCTGTCTGTAGTCGATATTCTGTTGCGTAATTTGATTTTCATAATATTTATTGCAGAAAATAACCTTTCCACGGCGGCGCTGCTATGTGGTAGGCACAAAAGCTTTTTTACCAATTCACATAATGTAGGGAATGTTTGATATTCGTCTCCATTTCTTAATTCTTGTACATGTTTCCAAAAGTCGATAATATCGGGAGTTTTGTTTTGGTTGAAAGAAAAATCGACATTTCTTAACATTCGCCATTCTCTATCCAGTTCCGTTATATTATTTGGACAAATCTTTGGGAAGAAATAATGTAAATCTGCAATGGAAGGGAATTAATTTTTTATTTCAGGATCCAGAATTGCTGTAGGAATTAGCATCTTCAGACATTTTAATGCTTGACGGTCTTTGTTGTCAAAAGGAAACCTTTTTAATAATCTGTTTTGCAGCCTCCATATAAAACTCCTTACACTTTAAGTAGAAATTTTTCAGCTGTTCTTCCTCCAGTTCTTCTATTTCTTCTCTTTCTTCTGATCACATTTGGCACCATTCCACCAACGTATATATGTTGCAACGGTAAATGTTTCTGCTCACTTGAGAAGTCAAGGTTTAATATTTTAGTTCCCTTTGCGTCTAAAATATTTTGTGCTTCCTTTTTTTCTTGTTCAGTGATATTCAAATATTCAGTTTGTACAAAGCATTCCAAGATAGGTTGGGTAGTATTTTGGTTATAATTTCGGAGTCTCGGATTGCATTTCTTTATTGAGATCGGTAAATATAGGTAATGCAAGTTTCAAAAACTCCAGGTACAATTCAGTTGTCGGTTCGAGAGCCTTGGAGAGAATTGTTTGCGCAGAAAGTAATCTATCTACATGAACTGCAGCTTGAAAATACAATTTTATAGCTGGTAATTGTTCCAGAAGCCTATTTACTACCTCAATAAGTGACAACCATCTGGTTTGGCTAGGGTGGAGCAATTTGTGTGGTTTAATATTTGTGAATGCTTGAAATGTTTTGAAATCTCCAATACGTTTTGGAGAATTTTGTATATGATTATATACGTCTCTACAGAAATCTTCCACGCCCCTTGACAATATCTCACATGCGTATAATGCGCAATGGTTAAAAGAATGACAAATGCACTTCATAGTAAAAAGATGAGGTATGTTTCCGAAATACAAATTTTTAAACAAAGTGACCAATGAATGTTTATCTCCAAACATAACGTTAGCGCCATCAGAAGCAAAGCCTATCATGTTTGATTTGTAAGGAATATTTTTTTCAACAAAATATTCTACTATTTTGCCATACAACGCTGTTGCTGTACCATCTACGATTGGTATTAAAGTCAGAAATCTATCTTCAACGCTGAAATCTAATTTTACTATTCTTACAACAAGCGCTAAATGTTTTATCGTAGACTTATCTGTGCTTTCGTCAACAAGTAATGCAAAGCAATTGTTCTGCAACATCTCTATTATATTTTCTTCTGCTGTCTGCCCAGTTACATTTATACAATAATTGTTTCGCAATTTTCGAATCTGGACATACAGCGCAAATCAATTTATTCAAATGAGATACTATGATAAAAGACAGATTATACTCAGCAATAAAGCAGGACATTTTTAATTCACCCGCTTTAGCTATAATTTTTGTATCTTGTGAGTTGGAAGCTGAGGTAAACATTAAAGTCAGTTTTTGTTTTTGTAATTTCAAACTATTCATCGCGTGTTTGGTGCATATTTGTGTCGTTTAACCAGCCTTTGAACCTATCATCTTTTAACCACAAATTTACGAATTTCTGTTCATATTTCACATTTTTTTTTCTTAGGAAGACTTTTCCCAGACGATGAATCACTACTCATTTTATCAAAAACGTAATTATTGTTTTTTTTAAATAGACGCCGCAATTCAAAGAAACTGTTCAAGGTGTGACTACAAAACAATACGCAATACAATAGGCGTATAGCTGTCATTCATAAATTATGATTTCCCCGTGCATAAAAATATGATTGTCAAACACATATAAGAT